TCGATCCCCTTTTTTATTTCCACAGTTAATCTTGATACATTCCTATGAATTGAGTCTGCTCCCACGAGAATCAGATCATATTTAATTGTTTTTGTGTTAACTTTTCCTAGATTATAAAACAATGCATTTCACTATGCTATCATGTATTGGGGTTGTTTTTCAAGACGCCCACGTTTGCTTCTATCAGAATGAGCCACCAGCTTACCAGTGAGAGATAACAGTGTAAACAGCAGGATCGCTACAACCCAAATGGACTAGGATTTCAGGTTATAAGCTCTCCTCTCAGTGAAATGTTGCTACTTCGGCTCTTTGGCTGTTAGAATGTGATATTTTTGCAAATTATTATTATATAAAACCTGAAAACTATGCTTTGATAAAATCACACAGCTTTCAAACAAGCGACATGCCTGTTATAAGGATGAAGGAATATTGCAGTTTGTTTACACCAGCTGAAAATGGATGAAGTAATGTCCTGAGATAATAGAGAAAATGACTTTTTGCCAAGTGCTCTCGAAATTGTAGGCAAGACTGTAACTTAGGAAACATTATTATCAACATCTCCCCGTCGTTCTCTCAGTACCGAGCTATTGCTTTCTGTCTCTATCATTGTTTCTCTGTCTTTCTCTCACAATCTCTGTCCCTCTCTGTCTTTCTCTCTCACATTCCTTCTCTCTCTCTCTCTCTCTCTATATATATATATATATATATATATATATATATATATATATATATATATATATCTATAATTAAGTTACGAAGAACTTGGTAAACCGAATGGGTAATTCCAAGGAGGATGAAATCCTGAGAGCTCAATGTGAATACAGAGCTAATATTTAATGAAAAACAGACCACTTTAAAGTGGTCTGTTTTCATTATATATATATATATATATATATATATATATAAGTGTAGATTGATGTCAGCACATAATAGTGACAACCTGTTATATTCTTAAGCGCTATCGTTCGGCTTGACAATTACGTTTTAGCATGAAACACACTGTCGTCGTGGGTTTTGACTTCAATGTTAACTTTTATATTCACACGTTCACACCTAATATTGGGCACTTTAACCCGTAAATGTAGCATACATTAAGACTATATTTTTTATTTTATTTTATATATATATATATATATATATATATATATATATATATATATATATATATGTGTGTGTGTGTGTTTGGGATATTAAAACAACATATAAAAATCGCTACATAATTCCAGTCGTATTTCGACGCATACCAATGCGTCTTCTCAGGCATTTGCAAATTATTGGCGGGTGAATGAATAATTTGGTTTCAAAGCCAAATACATACTTTTTTTTCGAAAAAAAAAATTAAAAAAGGGTTATCAGGCTTGAGGGCTTTAGGCTGATCAACCAGTCAAATATGACCTACGTTCGATTCAAAGCAAGCGAAAAAGAAAATTAAACGTTTCTTAGAAATGGGTTGTGACCCGGAATTATCTGCCAACAGCAGCATATTTAAAATTACAGATTGATACAGGTGGTTACGTAAGGTGTATACATATCAGACGGTTAAATTTCCCATTAAAAAAAAACTGAGGCGTAGTGAGGGAATTTAACCTAATGCAACCTTTGTACATGCTTTTTGGATTTCATACATTTCATACATATTTTTTGTAGTTGATAAATAAGAGGCCTCTTTAAGAAACTAGTAAATAATTCAAACGTATAGAATTATTTGGTAAATTAATATGCAACAGTTAAATAAAGATCATCCATATAACATGTTAATAATATCAACCAATGTAAGATGTCAAAAATGCTAATTACCAATACATCATATAAGAAGTTAATAATACTAACAAGATTAATATAGACCTATATTAAATCCAAATTAATCTTACAAATAGAAAAATAAGTCATATATGGTGCAACACAGTTCAACTAAAATATAAGAAAAGCCATTATCAAATTTCAAATTTTTACTAAATTCGAAGGTGAAAGATAGACTATATCTACAATTTATCGTTAATTTGATTTAATAAAGATTTTTATCATAAAATCTGATAATTTCCACTCTTCCATGTAAACACCGAAAATCATTTTCATATAAAGAACTATATGCTCTTGCCATTTAAAAAATTCCATTTCATCTTAGGATTTTTATTATCACCTTTTAACTTCCAACAATATTTAGAAATTGATTTATTATTTCTATAAGTAATATTGCCGTCAGATTTTTTATTGTAGAGATATTACTTAGATGAAGAAGAGATTTAGTTAAACATTTGTTTGGCAATGGACATTGGTTAGGATTCCTACAATTACATTGGCTAGTATCATTAATGATATTTATCTTAGAGCATGCATTATCATCCAGATTATTAAATTGGTTTAAAATTTTATTATTGTGTAGCTTTATAATCTTCTCAAGATTATTTGCGCAACTATCACTTTGTTTTAATGTGTTTCTGTTAAATATTTTATTAAGAGGGTTACTTTTAGAGAATATTTATCAATTACATTGAGAAAATTCTGGCTTATCTTACTACTGACCAATTGGCTAAATGGTGGGGTACTAAAGGATCTTCCTATTTATATTTCTTTTCTTAAACAACTATCATCATATTTTCTATACTTGATTTCAGCGTACTTATAACCACTATTTTTAGAACAGTATTATATATATTTATCAAACACATCTTTGTCAGATGAGTCGTTGTGAATCCTATTTTTACGGAAGGTCACATGTTTTGTAGAGGATGGAAATGGTGTAAAAATGAATAATAACGAACTTCTATTCATTTCATCAAATTTATTTATATTTACAAACATTAAAATAAAAAAGTGACATCGTCAATCCATCGATGATTCAAATATTTACGTCGATAGCGCATCTGTATGTCTTAGCATTCGTTGTAACAGTAGCCGTGATACAGTAAAAGAAAAACTGACGCGAGATGCAAGTTCTAGAGATTTTCTTAAAGAATGAAGACATTGCAAATATTTATAAAAGTTGTATTGATTCCATTGTGAATTAAACTTAAGTTGAACAGTTATTGGTAAGTTGCAAATCGTATGATCTTTTTGGACCAGTCTGAATAACTAAGATTAGATGTTGAGATTTCTAAAGTCCGATAGAAACTAGGCGTAAAAAAATATAATAATCTTTCTAATTTACAAATGGCTAAAATTATGTTTATATATATATATATATATATATATATATATATATATATATATATATATATATATTATATTGAGTGTTTTTTGCAAATATATATATATGCGTGTGTATGTGGGTGCTTGAATGCCAACTCTGTACGCGTCGTAGGCGCAGGTAAGACGTGTAGATCAATGGCGTAGTCCAATTGGCGTTGTTATAGACTTAGCTCTCAGACTAAGGCTTTTGACACTCGTACCTACACGTCCGTCGGTATTTATGACGGACACCAGCCAATCATATTCCCGTGAAGGGGGAACACAGGTGTACGCATATTCCATTATATCATATATATATATATATATATATATATATATATATATATATATATATATATATATATAAAAAATATATACGGAAAAAACAAACAAAAATCCTTATTTACAATTATGCTGTTTTAATGTTAATATATGTCAAAGTCTGACGTTTCCGTCTAATAAACCATCTTCAGGACATATTCATAAATATAACATTATCAATACAACATGACAAAGACCATGTACATAAGAACAAGACTTATCCAAACAAATAACTGAAAGTTTTATAAGATCAGCGCTCCGTTTAAAACATGTACATCGTGTTTTCATGTTGTATTGATAATGTTATATTTATGAATATGCCCTGAAGATGGTTTATTAGACCGAAACGTCAGACGTTGACATATTAACATTAAAACAGCATAATTGTATATAAGGATTTTTGTTTGTTTTTCCCGTATATATTTTTCTTCATACTGTCGGATCTATATCCATATATTTGCTTACATATATATATATATATATATATATATATATATATATATATATATGTGTGTGTGTGTGTGTGTTTAGGCAGCAATTCTTCTTTCATGCACATTTCGTTGAATGCGTCAGACAAGGGTATTTTATTTAGTTTTTATTAATATTATTAGATCGCATGAGAAATTGTATAAAAAACAAATAAAATCCGAACATGATAGCGCCAAACCTAGTTAAAATTTGTATTCAGCGCACCCAAATTACATGGAATCAAGTGACAGATATCATGCAATAAAATACGTGCCTCCCCGTGTTATCGGCCTGAAAAAGGCAGTAGAATTGTTCAGTCGAAGCATGATTAGAATAACATAAACAAAACAACGAAAGATTTCATTTTCTGTTAAAATGTCTATGCTTATTTGGCGTTTTTCCAAATGATGGACAATATTTTTGCAGGTTTTCTCATAAGAAAATAGAAAACTTTGATTCAGTTATCGGTATGAAAATAATCAATCTATATTCTTATTCAAACACACTTTAAGAAACTAACGTTTTCTTTGAATTAAAACTCACATTTACATAGAGAAATGAGAGAGAAGGAATCAATATGTTTTAATTACGTAGTGTTTTGCTAAAAGGACTTCGTTTCTCAAGACTGGGATGAATTAAATTTCCTTTTAATCAATCATTAATCACAACGAATATTTTATACTTTGTGTTAAGTAATTATTGAAATTATTGATTAACACTCATTACAAAAATGTCAGTTGTCGTTCAGAACATTAGAAAATACAATCAAAATATTTGTTCACTTAATAGCCACTTAAATGTATGGATTATACAAACCAGGGCACAAAGACTAAGTTAATGATAACCCACAATGCGTAACTAAATCTGCATTCGAAAAAACAGATTTGAACGCAAATATTGAATGAGATATTTTTAAAATTTAAAGGTTTAGACGAGCATATAGGCATGCATGTCATTCAGGAAAGCAAAATAAATCAAGGACATTGTCTTTAGATATACATGAAAAGAATGAGATAGATACATAGATATATGTGTGTAGACTGTCATAGATAGACATATGTGAGTAGACTGCGATAGATGAGAGTAGAGTATGATAGATTGGTATTTGAGATAGATAGATAGATAGATATGAACATAGATAGATAGATAGATAGATAGATAGATAGATAGATTAGATAGATAGATAGATAGATAGATAGATAGATAGATAGATAGATAGATAGATCTGGATGGACTGTGAGAGATAGACATATGTGAGTAGACTGCGATAGATGTGAGTAGAGTATGATAGATTGGTATTTGAGATAGATAGATAGATAGATATGAACATAGATAGATAGATAGATAGATAGATTAGATAGATAGATAGATAGATAGATAGATAGATAGATAGATAGATCTGGATGGACTGTGAGAGATAGACATATGTGAGTAGACTGCGATAGATGTGAGTAGAGTATGATAGATTGGTATTTGAGATAGATAGATAGATAGATAGATATGAACATAGATAGATAGATAGATAGATAGATTAGATAGATAGATAGATAGATAGATAGATAGATCTGGATGGACTGTGAGAGATAGATATATGTGAGTAGACTGCGATAGATGTGAGTAGAGTATGATAGATTGGTATTTGAGATAGATAGATAGATAGATAGATAGATAGATAGATAGATATGAACATAGATAGATAGATAGATAGATAGATAGATTAGATAGATAGATAGATAGATAGATAGATAG